TTGTAATAAATTCCAGTATATCTTTTTAAAACCAGGTGATCTTTTAACTTTTCACAATTCTGTCAAACACGAAATTAGAACAAAAGATGAAAATCCCATTTATACAAAATCCTATAGATTCACACGCGTCCATAAACAAGAAGTAAAAAATCAAATTGAAAAAATGTTACATGAAAACATAATTAGACCCAGTATAAGTCCATGGTCCTCACCAATTTGGGTGGTTCCTAAGAAAAAAAGACGCTTGCGGAATTCAAAAATGGAGACTAGTTGTAGATTATCGTAAACTAAATGACAAGACTATCGAAGACCGTTACTCCTTACCTAACATCACAGACATTTTGGACAAATTAGGCCAATGTAACTATTTCACGACACTTGACTTAGCTAGTGGGTTTCACCAAATTGAACTACACCCTAATTCAGTAGAAAAAACCGCCTTCAGCGTTGAACAAGGACATTATGAATTTTTAAGAATGACCTTCGGTTTAAAAAATGTCCCAAGCACCTTTCAAAGAGTCATGGATAATGTTTTGAAAGATTTGCAGAACAAAATTTGTTTAGTTTATATGGATGACGTAATTATTTTTTCAACATCATTACAAGAACACATTCTAAATTTGCATAAAGTATTTGAAGCTTTTAGGAAACACAACCTCAAAATTCAATTAGATAAATCGGAATTTTTGTCAAAATCTGTAGAATTTCTCGGGCATGTTATTACTCCAAATGGTGTAAAACCGAATCCAAAAAAAATTGAAGCTATTAAAAATTTCCCAATTCCTCAAACACATCGCGATATTAAAAGCTTTTTAGGACTTTTAGGATACTACAGACGCTTTATCAAAAACTTTTCCAAAATCACTAAACCTTTCACTAAATGTCTTAAAAAAGGAGAAAAAGTAATTCACACTCTAGAATTCATAAACACTTGTAATATTGTGAATATTGTAAAACTCTTTTATGTAATGACCCAATTTTAGCATTCCCCGACTTTGAAAAACAATTTACAATCACGACTGACGCCTCAAATTTTGCGATAGGTGCACTACTTAGCCAAAATGACCATCCCGTTAGTTACGCATCTCGAACATTAAATCCGGCTGAAATAAATTACAGTACCATAGAAAAAGTCCGCAGTCGTATGGGCAAGTAAATACTTTACACCTTATATTTTTGGAAGAAAATTTATCATTCAAACTGACCACAAGCCCTTACAATGGCTATTCAACTTAAAAGAACCCAACAGTAGACTAGTAAGATGGCGACTCACATTGAAGAGTACGACTACGAAATTAAATATAAAAAAGGCAAACAAAACACTAACGCTGACTGTCTCTCTATAATAAAAATTGACTCAAACCCAATTGACATAAATCCAATTGACACAGATACTAACCCCGGAGACAAAATTACAGACGTAGACGATTTTATTTCAGAAATAGGCGAGGAAATAGGCGAAAGACTTTTAGATACCCCCACAATGGAACAAATATTCCAAGAAATTGACAGCTCAACCACCACCACAAAATAACGCAGAAAAGCAACATACCGCTGACGAAAACCCCATATAAGAATTACCCTATACAGAAAATTGTCTTAATCAATATAATCACCAAATTATTATTCAAGAATCTAATAATACTATTATCGATTCTTCAACGTCCGAAAATCCTTTTAAAACCAAATTTCGTCATCTAGTTACATTTAGAACTATAGCATCTGATGATGATGTTACAAAATTATTAAAATCATTAATTTCTCCAAAATTCACTTATTGTTTATATTTCAAAACACCTGAAACTGAAAGAAAAATTATTCGCATACTTCAACAAAATTTCACCAACTTAAAATTATGTATATCTCGAAAATTTCTCCATGACATAGAAGACAATGAAGAACAAAATGAAAAACTCAAATATTATCATGAAGGTAAAACTAGTCATAGAGGTATTACAGAAGTCAGAACCTCCCTTCTTAAACGATATTACTGGAATATGTCAAAAAGCAAAATATGAAAGACATCCCCAACGTATTAAATTTCAAATAACTCCCACTCCTAAAAAACCTTTTGAGATAATTCATATGGACTTATTTTTCGCAGAATCCAAAATATTTTTAACAGTTTTAGATCCTTTTTCAAAATTAGGTCAAGCCTACCACATTAAGACAAATAATTTTATTGACACTTACGAAGCCCTTTTGACGTTCATTTCACATTATGGTATTCCAAATAAAATAATTACTGACAATGGTAAATAATTTGACAACAATCTTTTCAAAGAATTTTGTAACTTGCATGAAATTGATTTTCACATTACTACACCGAAAAACTCTAACTCTAATGCTCCAGTCGAACGTTTTCACTCCACACTTTTAGACTTAATCGTTGCACTAAATTAGAATATCCAAATAAAGACTTAACCCAAATAATGAAATTAGCAATAATAGGCTATAATAATGATATTCGTTCAGTAACAAAATTAACACCATTTGAAATTGTTTTCGTTAATAATAGAAAAATTCCTTTCGATATAATTGAAACCGAAATTTTGAATGATTACATTAGTGAACAAAAAGACGTATCTCAAAAACTGTACAATAATTAAAATCAACAAATTTTCCGAAATAAAGAAAAAGTTATTACAAAATTAAACGAAAAACGTGACGAACCTGTAGAATACAAACCTGATGACACTGTTTATTTAAAGACTAAAGATAAATTTACTTCAAAAACTAAGCCAATATTTAAAGAAACACAAATAGTACCTGACAAAGACCATTTAGTAACAACAAAAGCAGGCACATATCATAAAAATTTAATAAAGAAACCTAGAAAGATACTAAAAGAATCTTCTCCACCGCAGGTCACTGACGATGACGACTTTGAGGACTACCTTACTACTTACCGTATTCAGCTTGCTCCTGAAGAAGAGCCAGACGAGTAACCCTACGTTCCAGACAATAACAAACCCTATTTTACCCATTCAACTTGGACCCGTAAACCAGATCGAATCGTCATAAATTTATTTACCAAATAGACATTTCGTTGATCTCAAACCATTTAAACAAATTATACCAATCTTTTGAAAAGCTAAAGTCAACAACTAATGATGAATCATTCCCTCATGTTAATTACACCTTAAACAAAATCGCATTAAAATTATAACCTTTAATTCTGAATAAAAACCATAAAAGAGGATTGATAAAATTTCAAAATATCTCTTTGGTTACATTGACTGAAGATGATAAATCAGAAATAATGAAACAACTAACAATTTTAAATAAAAATCAACACAATATCGAGACACAAATGGACTTGCAATTATCTATTCTTCAACCGCTTTTGAAAACTTTTAATGAAACAATTTCAACCCTATCTACTAATCAAAACAAAATTGTCACAGAAATTAAAATGATAAAACAAAATTTTGGAATTGAAAATATCAGATTCATTAGTCAACAGATTATTAATAATTGTAACTCTCTTTTAACTCTGATTGATGAAATATACATTGCAATATCTTTTTCCGCGCTACGAACAGTTTATAATCCAACTATTACCTTTAATGAAGTGAGATTTATGAAAAATACACTTTTTCAACTTTATGATAAATCAAAATTTTTAAACTTAGGAAGTGACTTATCGTATTTTAAATTGATGCATCAAGATGTTTTCTTTAAATATCCAAATTTCAATTTTGTTATTACTTTGCCGTTGTCAAATGAAAATACATACCTGTACAAACTTTATCCAATCCCACAAAATAACCTTACCTTAATTCCTCCCAAACCTATAATAATGCTTGGCGAAGGAAACCAAAAGTACCTAGATAAAGAATGCCCTCTGGTAGAACATTTCGACATTTGCAATGAAAAGCCAGAACCTGTCCAAGAAGATTGTATTTCCATGCTTGTCCAGGGTCGACAACCTTCAAACTGTCAATTCAGTGAATTCAAAATTATTCAACCAATAACAATTCAAGTTGCCTCAAATCAAATTTTACTAATTCCACATCCACCAAAGGCTAACTGACATAAGATTCCAATATAACACTAATGGAGCTGAGAGAAGAAGTTCCCCAACTTTAATCACCATTGATAACATATGCAAAATCTGGATCGATGATGTCCCATTTTTAACATCCACTGATCCAACCACTCACATAGGAGCAGGAATCCTACTACCACCCTTGCCCAGTCAAATGGACATTTCAAATAAGGCACATCACGGGCTGCAGTTGAAATCCATCCATTTTGAGGATATAAACAGGATTATCCAGTCCAGCCATCATTTGTCTTCAATTAACCATATTGAGCCGCTCCCCGACAACCAATCAAACCTATTATGGATCGTCTTCATTACGTCCATTATTCTCGTATGTCTATTTTCTATTTATATCTATTGTCGGAAGAGAATCGACACTTATATTCGGAAGATCCGCCAAAGAGAGGGAAATTCCCAAGACCCAGTCGAAGACGTCCCAATGGCACCGTTAGGTCCCCATGGTCCGTTCTAAAGGGGGAGGAATGATGTACCCCGTATATTATATTTTTTGCTTATAACTCATTGCCTTAATCATAATAATAAACGTTATGAACTTAGTAGATCTCTACTCAAGTAGAGATAAAAATTATGTTAAGAGTCAGCATTTTGCAAACGCTTTGTAGATTACAACCTTCAATTATAATATTGTCGTGAGATAATAAAGTTTGTATTTGCTAAACATACTTTTGAATTCAACAACATCAAATTAAATTCACAAGTAAAACTCTCTAATTCGGATTCAGTACCCCAAAAAACATTTATAGAACCGATGAGAAAAAAACTTCTACATTTTTTTCCTGGAAAAAACCTTTGCTTATTGGATTATTCATGAATAAATGTATACAAAAAGGTCACATGTTGCATCGACTTAAAATTAAAACATATGCCTAACTCATATACATATATATATAGTCCAAATGTGCAATAATTTTAGTAATATGAGACACAGAAAAGTCTTAGGTATGTTGTTGCAATGTATATTTTACATTTTCAGTATAGTGTAGAGATACATATTTAAAATAATTACACAAATTAAAAATATTTTAGAGGTAGGGCATTCAAGTAAGCATACTTTGACTTTTATATATTTACTTATTTATATTAGATTAAAAATGAAGGAAACGTTGAATTTGGAAGATGGTGTTAAGGAAAATGAAGGTTCAGATTACAATTTGCAAGGTGGAAGGGCAATAGCCAGTGTTCAAGCAGGGGAGGAAATAGTTATTTCAGGCAATTTTATTTGTAATTATACCTTATTTGGGTGGTAGATGCGGTTGTATGTACATATCGATATTAGTTACATCGGAGCACCTCAGGGATTTAATTGAAAAAGGTTAATGATAAAGTTCCGAATCTCCTATTTTATGTATACTGTCGATATAAAATTATACAGCAACGTATCGGGTTGATGCATAAGTTCATAGTTTTTCTATTGAATTCAAAATTTATTTCTTTTAATAAACAAAATGCATACATACATGAATCAAGGATCCTTTATTGTTTACGATCACTTGGCAACGATTTGCCAGTTTCTCTATTGCATGTCTAAAAAAATCCGGTAATTTAGAAAGAAAGGAGTTTAGAAGAAAACAAGAAAGAACCAAGCTAAAATTGAAAAGCGACATAGTCATTAAATAAGATTTCTCGAAGATCGTTTGATAGACAGCGGAAAAGATGGAAATCTGATGAAGAAAGGTCAGAAGAATAGGGCTGATATGGAATAACCTAACCGAGCTCTTGAATAGATGATATTGTGATGTTAACAGTATGACAACGGACATTATCATCGTAAAAATTTACACGACGATGTCTTCCTGGTCTTTTTTTCTTGAAATGCGGGGTCAAGATGACGAAGTGGTTATCAGAAAACCTCATCACGGGCTTGAAAGCATGGTTACTAGCTTTTGACAGGAGAGTCGCCTTTCTGGTAGGACCTAAGCCATTCGTTTATAACCTACTATCGAAATAAATGAAATGGACCCCTGAGTTTGGAAACCGATATTAAGAAAACGTAGGAGCAAACAAATTTGAAATTTGGACCATATATAGCCTCTACTATTACTCTATTGTGTGCTAAAATTTCAGTTAGTTTCGTTATCCCATTTTTAGTTATTAATGAAAATGTTTTGTGCCTACAAAATTGATACCTCTCACTTTAACTCGTCGTAATTTTTTTGTTAATTTATAAAAAAATTCCAAATTTTTAATGACGAGAAGTCGAACTATTGTCTTTAGTACTAGGACTGCTATCTCCATAAATATTGCGTTCTGAAAAAAAATTGTTAAAATAATACAGTTATAAATATGATATTCTTAAAAACAGTATCGGAATGGTCAATTACGTTCACGGTCTGATGCAGGGTATACAGTACAGCCTTTATAACTGTATTATTTTAACAATTTTTTTCAGATTGTTGTTTACAATTATTGACTACTTGAGTCAGTTCTTTTCTTTTTTTTTAAAAAGTGCAATATTTACGGAGATAGCACTCCCTTCTGTTTTGCTTAAAAATAAAAAAAGAAGAGCTTTTGAGACAAATGACCTTCACAGTACTAAAGACAATAGTTCGACTTATCGTCAGTAAAAATTTGGAATTTTTTTATCAATTAACAAAAAAAATAGGAGGAGTTAAAGTGAGAGGTATCAATATTGTAGGCAGAAAACCGTGATTTTTTCAACATTTTCATTAATAACTAAAAAATGAGATAACGAAACTAACTGAAAATTTAGCATACGATAGAATAATAGTGAGGCTATACATGGTCCAAATTTCAAATTTTTTTGCCCCTAAGTTTTCTTAATTTCGGTTTCCAAACGCAGGTGTCTATTTCATTTATTTCGATAGTAGGCGCTGACGTTAAGGCACCATTTTTCGTTATCAGTGACAATTTGGGTCAAAATGGGGGATGTTATAGAAGAACTAAACGATGACGAGATAGCAAAGAGGCACAAATTTTGACAGCACGATATTTTTTTGCTTTTGCTCAAAACATATGCCATCAATGTGGTTGACTGACCACTCCATCGTACTGAACAATTTCTGTGGTGATTAACGAAGTTCAACATGGATAGAAGCGTTCAAATGATCTTCATCAAAGTCAAATGTAACGCTTCGTTTTCTTTTGTAAATAATCTACAATCCTTTCACCGATTTCAAAGTTTATTCAATTGAACAATAATATAACATTAAAACAACTTTGACATAACGTCTAACGATTAATTTCCTCTTGCCATGGAAATCAAAAACGTTATGAATCTATGCATCCCAATAGATCACATTTTTCAGTTAATTCTTTTTAATTATCTCCTTAATTTAATACCTTCTCTAGGTATGTCCGGGGTTTTCCCCAATTCCAATAATATCCAAGAATTTAAGGACAATTTATATAACAAGGTCAACATGGTACAGCCAAACAGGAGATGGGATCTAATTCATCCAGAAATCCCTTCTTGTTCAGGCACAATTCCAGACATTGAACACTATGACCGTGGATTCTTTGGTAAGTGCAAAAAAAATTACTTATTGTTGGTCGATATCTACGCAATAAAATGTGAGTAAAAAAAATCATTATTAGATTTATTGGAAGAGGTCATCTGTCTACAAACAAACATAAGGAAAAGTTCATATGAATCTAAATTTGCAAAAATTACTCTTTCGACTGATATGATTTTCAGAATGAAGACGAAATAATCCTTATTGACAATAATTCATTTACCAACATTAAAACGGTTTCAGAGTTAAATAATAACAGTACATCTTCAAGGAGCCATTGAATACAGAAACTTCTATAACAGACAAACGGATTTTTCGGACACTACATATATTTTCCATTTATTTACTTATTTATATTGTTAAAGGCGTCCACGAACGACAATCGGAATCGCTGGACCCAGTGACGTCACTTGTTCAAGAAAGAACGATAGAGGCCATTTTGGATGCAGGTCTGAATCCCCTCGACCTGGTGAACACCAGGACTGGCGTATTCGTGGGCGCCTGTTATTGTGAAAATGATAAAATGTGGTACTTCACTCACCTGATCCCAAATAGCTACGCGATGACTGGGTAAGCGCAAGGAAATTATTTTAGTGCTTTTTTAGATGTGTAAATCAAGTTATTAAGTTTATTAAAAATAAGAATGTCTAATAACACAGGCCAACAAATTATAACTGACTTTCTAAATCAGAAACCAGACTATAATTCTACCTCAAAATTGCTAAATTGCATCAGGTTTTAGAGATAACTTAACCTAAAAATGCGAAAAATACGGATTTTCACTATATTTAAGGTTATGCTATATCACAAGGTAATGTTTCTTCACAAAACTGGTTATGGCAACTGAAACTGCTAACCTTGTTCTTCAAAATTCATTTTGAATAGTTCAAATATCCTTTTCCTCTCCGAAATATTGTTTGTTGAAATTGATTACTGAAGAATGAGTGTTATAGTGATCGTAATTTGAATTTATGTTCTTTTTTTTATTAAAAACCTTCCATTAAATGATAAAGTTTATACCATAGTTTCCTTTCACTTCTAAATTCCAACTTTTTTTTTATTTCAACTGACACATTGGATCCGCCATTTGTAATTCTGCATGACTTGATCGCCGACCTGATTCTTCTCTTTTTGAGTCTTCATCCGATGCTACCCAATTTCCGAATATCGATGAATACGCCAAGCTAATCATTTTAAACAGGCTATTTCTTGAAAAGGAAGAAAGATATTCGAATAAAAATGAATTTTGAACGGGAAGCATGTTACCTTCGGATGTCGTAATAAGTTTTGTATGCACAGGGAAAGACCGTGCTTTTCACACTTTAAAGTTAGGATATCTCGACGTGATGGAGCAATTCTGAGTCGGCTTCTGATTCAACATACCAAAAGCCTTTTGAAAAGTATAGTCTTGTTTCTACTCTAAAATTTTGAGGATCCGTGTAATTAAATTATATATATATTATATATTAAATAATATCTTTTTCGAATAACATAAAGATAACTATTTTCTTCGATTAAAAACTAAAAACAATGACCAATTTTCCAAAACATTCAGGATGTATAGTTCCTGCAGTATTTATAGTGGTCATATCTACCACTACCTACAGCTACGTTAACAAACTTGTACTCAATTAATTTTTGCCTTTAATTCAATTCCAAGTTTCATAAATCTATATCAGATATTTTCATACATTTTTAAGTAAAGGTGATATTTTTTAAAAAGCATTTTAACTCAAAAATTATCCAAGACTTAGAAACAACCTGGTGAAAGTACACCGTTGAAAGGAAAAATGGTAACAATTTATAGTATTTTCGGAATCATTAGTTACAACTTTTTGTTTTTTAAAACAAACCAAAAATGTCTGTTATCGGATATAGACTGTAGCGTGTTTTCAAACATCATTATAAGAGTCCAGATTTTAGAGTTAGAATGAATATTGATCGTCAAAGAATTGATTATTATAGAATCGATTTGATTATAACGACTTTGCGAATTTCGTTGGAATTCTAATGCTATATATTTTTATTCTAAAATCATTCGGCTTGTAGAGCACTGAGGTCCATGATAGCACATCGGTTGAGCTACTTCCTGAAATTAAAAGGGCCTTCGTACACAACTGATACAGCTTGTAGCAGTTCTTTATACGCCCTTGAACATGCGTATCGAGCCCTTCGAAGAGGAGAAATTGATAATGCTATCGTTGGTGGAGTGAATCTGTGCTTGCATCCTTTGTTCAATTTGGAGTTTTCAAGGTGAGCTATTCATATTTGTTCATCAAAAGGCTTTCCAAAAAACCTCTGCAACTCCTTGTTTCAATTACTCAACTATACATGTATTTATGAGTACTAAGAATACTATATCTTTGTATTCTGTAATCTGTATTCAAGTATTGAATACTTTTATTTGACAGTAGATATTCAGTATCCGAAATCGTCAGTTTTGGACTCGGTTTTAGATATGTGTATTCGTATTCAGGATTGAGTATGTACTTGGAAATGATTCTCATGAATGCAGTAAAAGGTATTTAGTTAATAATAGAGTATCTATCTATACCTAAGTATTCATAATACTGAGGATTTGTTAATATTAAGGAATCAATCTAGTAAAATGTTGAATTCAGTATTCAAGTAATTGATACTCCTTTTAACAGAATATCCAATATTCGTCGATTGAATACTATTACTGTAGTCATACCTAGCTCGGCTGGATAGTAAATTGATTTCACTAAATAAAGGTTTGCAAATCTAAATATATATTTTTTTTTTGAAGAATATAAGTTTTATTAACATTCAGGCTAGGAGTTTTAAGTAAGGATGGTGCCTGCAAAGCTTTTGATGAACTAGGCAACGGCTATGCTAGATCGGAAGCAGTGGCAGTTTTGTTTCTACAGAAGGCCAAAAACGCTAAGAGGGTATATGCTGAGGTGGTTTACGCCAAAACGAATTGCGACGGATATAAGGAGCAAGGAATCACATTTCCCTCCAAGGAAAGACAAGGGGAGCTGCTGACTGAATTCTATGATGAATGTGGAGTTGACAGATACAGCCTCAGCTTCTTGGAGGCCCACGGAACTGGTAACATAATTATTGCCATAATATTTTTCTATTCTAATTATTATGATTAATTTTCTGTTAAAATTATACTTAGTGATAAAAGTTTATCTTTAAGGTACTTCTGTTGGAGATCCAGTAGAATGTTCTGCCATCGATGATGTTCTTGCAAGGGAGAAAAAAGTGCCACTGCTGATAGGTTCCGTAAAATCGAACATCGGACATTCAGAACCAACATCTGGTATATGTTCTATTATTAAGGTAACTTATTCTAATTTGGCTCTACAAATAAACGTTGCATATTTGTGAGATAACAATAGCAGGAAACTGAAAGCCAATTTACATATGAGCAATAAGTGTAAGATGTAAATTATTGACTGATTAACAACTCAAATATTGAATTGGCAAAAATTAATTTAAATTTATTACCGACATTTAAATTCTTTTTATATTGGGAGAAAATTTTGAGTGCACCATAATGTGATCGTAGTTTTAGCGGAATCTTTAAAGAGAAAATACTAATTGGTCTCAATGTTCAAAAGTAGAAGTTTCGGTTTCAAGCTTAGAATACATTTGAGATATTTTGACATATCCATAAAAAAGTATTGTAAAATATTTTATCAAAACAGCGCATTACTACCTACTTTACTCTTGCAGTTAAATGTCAATAAACTGTATCATAATTTTAAAGAATTTAATTGATAACAAAAATGCATTTTTGTAGAAAATATAGAGTTATTTTTTTATTAAATTGATTGTTAAGATTAATAAAACTAATGTTTCTCAATTTAGTCAATTTAACTTGTAATGCAACTTGGAAATGAAGCAACTTGAACTAAGTTATGGTTGGTTCATTGGTTATATTTTGGTATTAATTTCACTCCTTTACTTAAACATTCTGTGTACAAGATATCTCACGGCGACGGCACATTAGAATTATTTCAGAGATACTTCGATTTGAATTTTGAAAATTTGAGATACCGGGTTCTCAACTAAAATAATGGCGTCCACGTACCACTTCCGGTTATACCGGAAGTCGCAATCAACTTGCTTATTTCAAATGGAATATCCTATATTTTATTGCAATTTTAGATTCTACGTGTTATTTTAGATGGACTTTTATGAAGTTTCCCTATTCCTAAAATTAACCATTTTCGAGATATTTAATTTAAAAAAAAAATGGAGAGAAACAGTGACTAGCTTCAAACCATGTGTATTTTATAGTAAGAAAGATAAAGCAACAATATTTAGAGGGCTTCCCATTCATATGTACTTTCAAAGTGGCTTAATTGCATACAGGGTGCTAGAAATTTAATGGCGAATTTAGTTAACTACAAAGCTTCATAAGTCGGTTTTTTTTAATGGAACACCCTATATGTTTTTCTATATTCTGATACACAATTTTATTCTCTTTCGAATGGTATCAGGGTTCCTTATACCTATCTCTTCTAGTTTTTAAATTATCTACTATTTTTTACGTAATCACCTAAAATCATGTAATTTCTTGCGAGGATAGCTGTGGAATTTTTAGCAAAACTTCAAAACGTACAACTAAACTGTCACCAGTTATTTATTATTATTTATTCACAGACGTTGCAATGGGATTCTAAGCAGAACATTTACAGGTTTTAATGAGACATATCCCAATTTTCCACCAATAAGCAGAATAAAGTTAAGAAGAATTCTAAAAAATCAACTTCATACATAGTAATACACAATTTTAATTATGTATGTTGATAATAATAATGCGCTAAGATAAAAAAAAAATGACTTAAAAAAGTCATAAGTGTTCAATATGACCCCCATCAACAGCTAAGCACTTGTGGATTCTAGAGATAACACCATCAGTCACCGCTTTTGCTATTTCAGCTGCAGGCAATTCATGGAACGCTCTTCGTATTCGAGCAATCAAATCCTCTTTTGAAGCA